GACCCGAAGGCACTCAGTAGGATTGAGGCCGACCCAGCACTGTATCATCTGGGTACCAGCCTCAGTCGGTAGGCTAGTAAGGAGGTTAGTCTACGCGTTAGTCTTCAGGATTAGCGCAGCGCTTCAGCGTTAGCAGGATTAGCGCAGCGCGGCAGCGTTAGCATGAGCAGCGAGGAGAGAGCGAGCACAGCGGTGAGAAGGAATCAGCGCAGCAGTCGGCCCAGCGCCAGCTCGCGGCAGAGCGCCAGCCTTCTGCAGCGCCATAGCTACCGGATCAGGTACCCGGGAGAAAGGCCTTGCCTTCTCTCCCTTTGACATCATCTTCCCTCTCCTCCTTCCTTCGTCTCTCCTCTCCCTCCATTCGTCTGTGTATAATCTCAGAACCTGGCCTTTCTTCTATGTCCAAGGCCTGGGCTTTCACACCACTGATGCATGATTGAGATTGTTCAATTGCAGTCCGAGTCAGGTCAGAGTCAGTCCATGGGTATCAACTCTTCCACTGTCATTGTATCAACTTTGTATTATCTGGTCGATTTTGGGAATCTGCGCCATACTTATGACTGTGTTTCATGAGTATGCAACAGTTTGGTATCGGAGCAGACCAGCATTGGATGACTCACCATTAATTGATTGATTGATTGATTGATTGATTGATTGATTGATTGATTGATTGATTGATTGATTATCCACACCTGTACTTTGTTATCATTAATCATAAGTTGCAATTTTTTATTTTTTTTCTTCTGCTTACATAGTAATTAGGTCGTTTGAGTTCTAATTTTAGGTTTTGCGGTTTTCTCCGTACTGCATATAATTAAGGAAATCGCTAATCACGATTAACCTAATTAGCGCTAATTAGGGTTAGCCCTAACCTAAGCTAACGACCTATCAAACCTATGGGAAGTAAGTGTCAGCCAGGCACTGCGCCAATTAAGGCAGATCGGGCCTGAGCACGGCCACATTCAAACTGCAACCTAGGCCGAAGGATAATTTGATTATTAACACAAATATTTTTATGACTTATAAGTTGTCTTGCTGTAAAAATTCATACGTACAAGAAGAACGTCCAATCTTTTCTCCATTAGTAATAACAAACTCTTTTGTTTGTCTAAAGTTTTAATCGATATTTGTGGAGTTGATTATCCTTCTCGAAAAGATAGATTTGAAGTGGTGTATAACTTACTGAGTATTCAGTATAACTCACGTCTTCGTGTACATACACGTGTAGATGGAATAACTCCCATTTGTTCCCGAATTTTCTTGGTAGAGGCAACTTCGTTGCACTTAAGTTCTTAGAATGATCTTACAACCTATTGATGAACCCCGTTTTTCCACTTGTTCACATGGCTTCGGACCCGGACGTAATGCTCACACGGCCCTTAATGTTATATTTGGTGTTTTAGTAGCCTTTGACTGGCTACCTTCACCACTGCCAGTATTTACTCTTAGGTGCCCACGTAGTGGTAGGTGCCACAAGATCTCTTCGATATCAACGTGTCTTTAGATAAGGACAGGAGCGCAGAGGTTAGGCAGCGAAGTAGTATCATTGAGATTTGAATTGGTTTCGTAATTTGAGAATTCAACTTATTTTCGGTAATCCATCATTACGTAATTACACATAAAAACTCAAATAACATACACATAACCAAAGGAATTGCGTGAGATATGTAAGTTGATCTAATTGAGGCATTTTTTTTTGTACTTTTTCCAAGTTTTTTTTTGTTTTTTTTCGTGATTGTTCGCCAATTTTTCATGGAACTTTCACTTTTTGCAAAACGCATCTTTTATTGCGATTAAAGGTTGAATCTTTACAGCAAATTGTGTATCTTCCTACTACCATTGATCTTCTACTTACTTCATGACCTCGTAATGATGCAAAAATCTCCCGATTAAATTTTGTGACATTATTAAAATTATGTTTAAATGTTTAATCTTGCTTAAACTTTATTCATTTTTAGTGGTGCAAATTTAAATATGCTTTAATTAAATATTTAACTTTTGCCAAATTAATTGTTGCAAATTTAAATATTCTTTAATTAAAGATTTTGCGAGGCACAAGGCCTCGATAAGCCCTACTGGGCCCCGATTTGCAACAAGCGTTGGCTGCCCTAAGTGAAGGCAGGCTCGACAGACCTCAAGAGGCCTATTTGGGACTTCTATGCAACTAGGGAAATTCAGGCAGGTGCGCAGTGTCAGTCGGTTGGAAGCGCCCAGGCCTAGGCTGCCTTGCATTGCATGTAACTGAGGCAGGCCCTGGGCCGGATACACAAAGTGGATCGAACAAAAGCTGAGGGCAGTTGGGTGCTGGTAACCACCACAGACCCTGGGTCTGTTGACTTCGGACTGAGGCTCAACCTCCCTGGGCCTACCGGAAGCTTCTGGACCAAGGCCCAGTACCGCAGCACAGCACGCAGCCGCATGCCACTTCGATATAGGGAAGGGCCTGCCTACTCATTGAACATTCGGGCACTGGCTGCTTTGTGCGCAAGCGCTGCTGCGCTATCGCCTGCCAGGCTCACGCTCTCACGGGTGAGTTGGAAGGAGCAGGCAACCATAGCCGAGTTGCGTTGCTGTATGCTGGATGGGGTGCATGGTGGTCCTTGGGTGCAACTGGCCTTTGTGAGTTGGGGAACGAGGTTGTGAGTGATACGAGAGACATACGTGGTGCTTGAAGCGTGCGGCATTGGCCGAGATCTGCTCATACTTCGGGGAGTTGTTGACGTCATCAGCGGCATTGAAGAGTAGGCTAGATAGGATCTGCCATCTGTAGTTTGGGCGCCGAGCGCCTGATAGGATATCAACATTGGTTCTTCGTTGATGATGATGATGAGACTATTCCAGCATTGTCAATTATGAGCTTTTGGTGTACTCTTATTTGGTGAAACTCATGATGCAATTCTGCTTTTGGTTTGAGGTCACGACTATCTGGTCTCATGTGTATTATGCTGTTTGATTGCTGAATTTTGCTATTGCTCATCTTCCTTGCAATTTGGTATCGGAGTTGTGGTACAGTGCGCTAATATGGCGCTTGTCTTCTGCCTAATGTGGTACATGCACGCGGTGTGAGCGGTGAGCGACGGTGCCGTGGGACGTGTGTAGTGAGGAGGGCGAAGGCAAGAGTAGGCAACCCAGGTGGAGAGGGGTTCGCCCGGAAGGCTATGCGGTGTAATGTGGGTTTTGGACGGTGTGATGAGAACTAACTGATGTGCGATTGGTGCTGAGGTGGAACGGTGTGTAATGCTGGTTGTGCCAAAGCAATGACTGGTCATCACAATCGGCGTCAGGTCATCTGGTGACATAATCTCTGTGGTTGGGGGCAGCTATTTGAGGTACGCTGCTCTTAACCTTATCTACCCTCTTCGGCACTTCTTACCGTAAGGATGTGTGTTCCGTCTTGAGAGTCTTCTCATTGTGAGGAGTCGAGTGCGCTCAACCTTGAGAGTCGACAATGTTCACGTGGATCATCTGGGAGAAGATGGGCGGAGCTTTCTAAAGGGCCCTGGACGAAGCACTGGGTCACGGTCACCATGCCAACCCACCGGGAGTAGAGCACGCATGCTTTGCTGCTTATCCTTTGTTCGGCTCGCTGCGTTGTTAGATGGGTTCTGAGGGGCAGGCCAGCCCTATGTGGGAGACGAGAACCAGGCGTCTATAAATAAACATCGACAGGGGAAACCATTGGTTGTGATCGTCGTACTGTTTGCGACGCTAAATAATTCCCGAGGACACTTGGGGGCGGTCCTTAAATAGCCTCTTTATTAGCCAATCGGTGTAAGGCTCGCTGCACGCGAAGATAAAACAATGTGCTAGAGCTGGCCAGCTCAATAGGACTCGGGGCACAGGGGTGGGCCAATTGCACACCTTTAAACACGCACTGCTCTTTGGATGGCTCAGGGACGCTGACGCCAAGCAACATTCAAGAAGAACTGAGGGAGGGGTAGATGTCAGGGGATAAGTTCGGGAAAAAATCCAGACTGTCCCAATCCACACAAATGATTCTATTTTTATGTTTTGATTAGTTAGATGTACAACCATTAACATATGACAGACAACATATTAGAATTGTTTCGTGTGCATTGTGCATTCTGTTCGAGAACTAATCAAACTAAAAATAGTTTTATTTGTAGGAATCTGAACTTACCTGTTGGACCCGAATGTATAGTCTCTGATGTAGCCGCCGATTATTTATATCGGTTTGTACATGTCACTGCGGTAGGCATCCATTGTGTGTCCTAGTGCAGACGGTGTGCAGTTCTGTAGCATATGAGCGATAGGGACAACACTAGTGAGGACGACCGGATCTTGCGATTGGCTAGACGCCCGATACCCCACTTGGCCTTAGGACCAGAGGGCAACAAATATCTGTTCCGCCAGCTTAGGGAGAGGCAGCAGCAGCAGCGGAGGGCTAGGGCAACAGAGACCAGCAGAGCATTCGCAAGCGAAACCGCTGTTTCAACGGCCATGGCAATTGCTGCGCAGCAGAGTTCCCAGGCCGGCAGTTCAGGGTCTGTAGGGTCAACGGTTGCACAAACCCAGAGTCAGTCCACTGGCGTTATGGCAAGCCAGCCGTTAGTGATGACTCCCGAGGAGGTCGCCATACAGCGAGATGTTGATCGCGAGGCACAACTACAGAAGGCTTTAGGAGAGATTAAGGCAAAAAAAGAAAGAATGATTAGAAGAAGAGTCAGGTTGCAGCGACGACAAGCCGACATTAGTGAGTTAGAGGAGATGGACCTAGAGGAGTTGGATGATCAGGTGAGGACCCTGAGGTCGGTCTTGTTAGGTGTAGTAGAGATGCAAGACCAGGAGACGACAATCTTACAGGACATCCAACAGAGTCTGGTCGTCCTGGTCGGATGAGCGCAGGCGACACCATCACTGTCCGGGCCTGGTGTCTGGCCCGTTGTACATCCTCCTCCTTTTGTTCCACCGGTGACTGGGGTATCCCCATATACCGGTCCAACATTGGTTCAGCCTCTCCCTGGGTATGCCTTTAACAGGCGGGTTCTCAGCAGGTCCTAGTGTCCAGGTTCTTGTACAGTCAGTGTATTCCCAACCTCCGTTGCAGGTTGCCGTAACTGGGCAGCCTACTGTCTCGCAGCCTGCACAGCCGCAGGGTACACAACCCCAACAGCAGCCAGTGCAACAGCCTGCACCACAGGGTCCACAGCCCGGTGTGGCGCAGGTACCGGGACAGAGTCAGTGGGTTCCAAAGACGGTCATCGCCGCTCCGAAACCCTTTACAGGGGATAAGAGGGGCGAACACCTCGACATGTGGTTGAGGGCAGTGCCGGTCTATGTGAAGTGTACACTTACCTTGCCACACGAGGAAGTGCTTGTGGCTGCATCCTACCTAGAGGGTAGTGCAGCAAGATGGTTGAGTGGTTTAGTGCAGTTGCAGGGATATGTTCATGATTTCCGTGCTTGGGCAGCCCACCAGAAACTGGAGGACTTTCTCAAGATGGTGGAAGATAGGTGGCATGATCCTCAGGAGGCCCAAAAGGCCACTGATGTGATCCTGACGCTGCATACAAGGCAGTTTAAGTCAGGAAGGGAGGCCACTGATGCAGTAGAGCGTCTGATCTGTGTCCCTGGGGTGCGCTACGACCCCCAGGTATTACTCACCTCCTACCCGAGATGCTTTCCAATTCCTCTCAGGAATCAGTTGGCAGGTGAGGCCAACATCAACATGCACCACTTCCCATCGTTCAGTAAGAAGGCCCTAGACCTTGAAGCGATAGGGCATGGTCAGACACCCACGACAGATGGTAGGAAAAAGTCACTGCCTCCCAACTGGAAGGCGAAGGGCCGCATTATGTTCGTCGACAACGATGGTTCAACCATTGAGTTGGACAACGAGTTCCAGGCGGGAGTAGGTTCAGAGGCTGGCAGCCTAGAGGCTTCAGGGGGTGGAGTAGTCGTTGTCGTAGCACAAAAAGGTAAGGCGACCGGTAGACGCTGTGGAGGTTCCCGGTCAAGGAGTCAAGTTGACCCCGATGCTCCTTCATGGGAGAAAGCGGGTCTCACTGAGGACGTGTAGAGAGATCGGTACACACGGCAGACTTGTATCCGTTGTGGCCAATATGGCCATAACCAATTCAAGTGTTGAAATGAGAAGGTGACCGAAAAGATCCCGCGTACGATGGGGCAGGTGTTGGGATCCTCTGCTCCCGTTGGTAGCAATGTGGCCAGCAGTTTTGGCACCGCTCCGGGAAACACGTCGGGCCAGTAGGAATAATAGTTGTTCCTGCTAGGGTCGAGGTGGTGGATACACCCTCACCATCTCGAGAGATAGCCCAAGCTACTGACTCCATCATCGTCCCGCAAACACGTCCAGACCCATTGAGCCTCTGTTCGATGAATGTGTTCGAGTCCTTAGAGGAGCTAGAGGAGGAGTGGTCTAGATCAGACCCACTAGCGACTTCGACGACATTAGTCAAAGCCCCTAAAGGTGAGATGTTCGTTAGCGAGGTGGTCATTGGCGGCCACAAGGCCGGGGCCTATTATGACACTTGCTCGACACGGAACTTTATTAGTCGCACGTGCGTTGAGAGGCTGCGCTTACAGGGGCAAGTGCAGCGCCTGAGTCGACCGACCTGTGGAGTCGACCTGTGCCAACAAACAACACATGGTACTCAACGACTACCTCCAGGATGCTGAGTGTTGTTTCCCGTACGCGGGAGGGGAATTGAGACATCGCATTTAGTTCCTAGTGAGCGATGATCTCCCTATGGATATCTTGTTAGGTATGTACTACCTCTCCGTGGCACAGCCCCAGTTTGACTGGGACCGAAAAGTGGTCAAACACACTTTGCCAGGTGGGGGGACCGCCAGATTACATAAGTTCAAAGCTAGTAATCTGATAGAGTCCCACGGATGCATGTGTGCGGCCACGTTCTATTGCTATCATAAGCAAAATCTGGAGGAGGGTATGTATCTAGTCTATGTCTCTGCAGCAGGCGAGCCAGTGAAAATGCCACCGGAGATAGAGGGAGTAGTTGCCAAGTACCCTGATCTGTTTGAAGAGCCTACAGGGGTTGTTGAGAGGGAGGTCGTCCACACGATAGAGATTATCCTAGGGTCTAGCATCCCGAACGGTAGGATCTATCAGACGTCTCCAGTTGAGCTTGATGAGCTTCGTCGGCAACTCAAGGAACTCGTAGAGAAGGGTTGGATCCGACTGAGTGTTTCTCCTTATGGATCTCCAGTCCTATTCGTACCGAAGAAGGAAGGAACACTGAGGATGTGCATTGACTATAGGGGCCTCAATGCCATCACTGTCAAGAACCGAGAGCCCCTACCGCGCATCGGCGATTTGCTAGATAGAGTGCAAGGGTGTCGGTACTTGAGTAAGATAGATCTGAAGTCCGGGTACCATCAGATTGCAATCCGGCCCGAGGATCAACACAAAACCACATTTCAGACCAGGTACGGTCTGTACGAGTTTGTGGTGATGCCTTTCGGCCTTTGTAATGCTCCTGGCACCTTTCAGCACACTATGAATCAGATATTTCATGATTACTTGGATAAGTTTGTCATCGTGTACCTCGATGACATACTTATTCATGATTACTTGGATAAGTTTGTCATCGTGTACCTCGATGACATACTTATTTTTAGTAGGACTGTCGAGGAGCACGTTGTGCACTTGGACAAAGTCCTTAGCCTTCTTCGACAACACAAGTTCAAGATCAACGGTGAGRAGTGCGAGTTTGGCCGCACCCGTGTTTTGTACTTGGGTCATGAGATCTCCGTGGAGGGATTGAAGCCCAATGACGCGAAGGTGGCCAGCATTCGTGACTGGCCGCGTCCTCGGTCTGTGATTGAGATGAGGTCCTTCTTAGGGATGACAGGCTACTACTGCAATTTTGTTCAGAATTACAGCATAGTGGCCGCCCCTTTGCCGGATCTGACTCGCCTTGACACCCCATGGGAGTGGACAGACAGGTGTGAGGCTGCTTTCAAACAACTGAAGCATGCGTTGACACACCATGAGGTCTTGAAACTTTCTGATCTTGACAAACCTTGCGTAGTAACTACGGATGCTAGCCAATATGGCATAGGTGCCGTACTTGCGCAGCAGGAGGGGAAGAAGTTGAGGTTGGTAGAGTACATGTCCAAAACGATGCCCTCTCAGAAGTTGGCTAAGTCCACCTATGGGAAGGAACTCTATGCGATCTACAAGGCGCTCACCCATTGGAGACACTATCTCCATGGAAGGTTCTTCTACGTCAGGACTGATCACCAGACCTTGAAGTGGATGAGAACCCAGCATGTGCTCTCCGACGCTCTGTAGCGTTGGATTGAAATCATAGAACAGTATGACTTCGAGCCCCAGTACACCAAGGGCGAGTATAACAAGGTTGCTGATGCGCTGTCGCGTAGACCAGATTTCTCTGGTGAGCTGATCACTGAGTTTGGGCTTGCGGACGATCTTACTCACTCTATGGTGGAAGCCTATCGCGAGGACCGGTTTATGTATGAGATCATACGCAGACTCGAGGCGAAGGACAAAGCGACTTCTGCCGAGTTTGAGTTGGTCAACGGATTGCTATTCCTTGAGAAGGCAGGGAATAAACGTCTGTGTGTGCCAGATAGGGAGTCTTTGCGTGGTTTATTTTTAGGCGAGTGTCATGATGCCACGGGACATTTTGGTTTCAAGAAGACTGCAGCCAATCTGCTGCAGCGGTTCTGGTGGCCCACGATGATGAGAGATGCCAAGTTGTACGTGGAGACTTGTCAGGTCTGTAAGAGAGACAAGCCCCGTACACAGGCCCCTCTTGGCCTCCTCAAGCCCCTTCCGATTCCGGAAAGGCCTGGTGAGAGCTTATCCATGGATTTCATGGACACACTGATCACCAGCAAGAGTGGAATGTGACACATCTTTGTCATTGTGGATAGGTTTAGTAAGTATGCTAGATTAGTTGCAATGCCGGAAACAACAAAGACCGAGTACGTCATTAAGTTGTTCAAAGAAAACTGGGTCAGAGATTTCTGACTGCATTAGTCTATCATTAGTGACGGGGATGTGCGATTCACTAGTGACCTGTGGAAAGCTGCAGCTGCGGAACAGGGCACGCACTTGCAAATGACATCAGGCAATCACCCAGAAGTGAATGGGCAGGCAGAGCAATTGAACCGCGTTGTACAACACCTGTTGAGGCATGACATCAAGCCGAATCAGGTAGACTGGGATGAGAAGCTCGCTCTCATCGCCAGCCTGTACAACAACGCTGGACAGCGCTACGGGAGTAAGCCCGAACAAGCTGCTACTGACTTTCAAGCCTAGACTGCCCTTGGACTTCCTACTACCTGAGAATCAGTCAGCTGCTGCACCAGGGACCTTGGAGTTTGCTTATCGATATGAGCAACTGATGCAACAGGCAGTCGAACAGATGCACAAAGCACAAGCAGCGATGATAGAGTCTAAGAATAAACACCGTCGCCCATCTACATTCCAGGTAGGAGAAAGAGTCTGGGTTAAGTCCTCAGAGTTGGGACAGGAGTACGGGATTTCCCGTAAACTCATGCCGCAGTACTTCGGACCCTGGGAGATTCTAGATGTTGTGGGGAATGAACCAGATGGACCATCTATGTTATTCGTATCCCTGGTCACTTACGCACTTACCCTGTTTTCCACGCCTCAAAGCTTGCACCTTCCAGAGAAACAGATCAGTTTCCCTCTTGTCGTTCAGCGCTGCCCTCAACCATGGATGGAGAGGTCGACATCGACGACATTGTTGATCACAGGGAGATGCCAGTTCCAAGACCAACAGGCAGAGGACGTCCTCCGAAACCGAAGCTGCAGTACCGAGTTCGGTTCAGACATCACACTGATCCAAAAGAGGATAGGTGGTTCACAAGAGAGGAACTGATGCAGACCGCTCCACAGGTAGTCGCTCACTATGAGAAGTCTCTGCAGAAGGGAACGCGCCAGATTATCGAACACTGAACTTCTCAGAGGACTAGAGAAGTATGGAGGAGGGAATGCGAGGCACAAGGCCTCGATAAGCCCTACTGGGCCCCTATTTGTAACAAGCGTTGGCCGCCCTAAGTGAAGGCAGGCTCGACAGACCTCAAGAGGCCTATTTTGGACTACTACGCAACTGGGGAAACTCAGGCAATTGCGCAGTGCCAGTCGGTTGGAAGCGCCCGGGCCTAGGCTGCCTTGCATTGCATGTAAGTGAGGCAGGCCCTGGGCCGGATACACAAAGTGGACCGAACAAAGGCTGAGGGCAGTTGGGTGCTGGTAACCACCACAGGCCCTGGGCCTGTTGACTTCGGACTGAGGCTCAGCCTCCCTGGGCCTACTGGAAGCTTTTGGACTAGGGCCCAGTACCGCAGCACAGCACGCAGCCGCAGGCCACTTCAATATAGGGAAGGGCCTGCCTACGCATTGAACATTCGGGCACTGGCTGCTTTGTGCGCAAGCGCTGCTGCGCTATCGCGTGCCAAGCTCACGTGCTCACGGGCGAGCTGGAAGGAGCAGGCAGCCATAGCCGAGCTGCGCTGCTGTATGCTGGACGGGGCGCATGGTGGTCCTTGGGTGCAAGTGGCCTCTGTGATTTGGGAATACCTGGTGCTTGAAGCGTGCGGCATTGGTTGAGATCTGCTCATACTTCGAGGAGCTATTGACGTCATCAGCAGCATTGAAGAGTAGGCTAGATAGGATCTGCCATCTGTAGCCTGGGCGCCAAGCGCCAGATAGGATATCAACATTGGTTCTTCATTGATGATGATGATGAGACTATTCCAGCATTGGTTGCCTCCCTTCCCTTCTTCCACCCCTACCTTCTCTCTCCTCCTCCTGGTACTGCGGACTTCAGTCTCCAGCCACGTCAGCATTGTGCCACATCAGCAGGGTGCCACAAACGCAGATCGCCACATCAGCAGCGTGCCATCTCAGCGTGCCATGACAACAAATTGCCAAATCAGTCGCGGCCACCTCAACAGTGACACATCAGCAGCAGACGAAGACAGGACTACTTGATGCACCGCAGTCAACAACTTGCTGAGCGCGGATACAGGGAAACCAAGCCCCAAGAGGGACCTAAGACACCTCAGATCCCGCGCAGACGACGCACGACCATGGCCGCCACCGCTGGCGCAAATTCACAAGCCAGCTCCGCGAGGCAGGCCACTCCCCCTATGCCAGTTCAGCAGGCAGATGAAACGCTACTGGCGTTTCTTGAACGTCTCCAGTTATACTCAGAGACTACTGCAGCTGAACTTCGCAAATGGGAACAGGAAGAAGTCGCCTGCCAGCAGGCGATCCAACGACAGTTGGCAGAGGCCAAGGCAGCACGTCAGCAGGCCGCAGTAGAAGCGGCAGCAGCCGCACGGTTGCAACAATTGCAGGTCGAGGCAAGTTTGAATCAAGTTCGTTACCAAGCTACAATGGAGCTCGCCAACGAAGAAGCCACGTACTGGAGGATACTTCGACAACAGCATTTTCGAGGGAACGAAGAACAAGAGGAGCCAACCGAGGAAAAGAGAAGCAAGGAGGAAATAGCAGTACTAATGGAATACATGTTGTACACGTGCAATTGGCAGCAACGCGAGCTGCTGGCCATGCGGCAGACCTTCATCCGCCATGAAGCAACGTTTCGGACGTAGGAACAAAAGATCACCTTGTAGAACGCGAACAATCAACTGCAGACCACTGTCAGCACAGGGTTGGCACGACTGTCTGCAGTTGAGTCGAAGGGCAGTGCAGTGGCAGACTGCAGCCCAACTTTGGCCGCCCAAGCCAAGCAACTCGAGGAGAGGATCAACCACGTGGTAGCATCCCTTGGCGACATCAGCAAGTTTGCTGGAGCATCGATAGTCAGCAATCAGCTGCAGATGCTCAGCGACCGCGTTCAACAACGACCGACCGCCGTCGCCAAGGAATGGAAGATGTCGAATTTCAAGATTGAGAAGTTCGACGATTACCACAAGACTGGTCCTCTGCAATGGTGGATGACATTCAACGTGGAGGCAGATGTACATCACACCCCACCACTACGGCGGCTTGACGCACTCTACCTCCAACTCATCGGAGGGGCACAAGCTTTCATGACGCACATGGTCGCCACGTTGGAATGCACCATCGCCACCCTCCACACCAAGATCACGTGGGAGGAGTTCGAGAAGAAGTGGAAGACCCGGTTCATGGTCAACAACGACAAACGTCACGCCTTGAACAAGATCTTCCGCATATTCCAAGGCCAGCAAACATCACGGGAATGGCTGACGGAGTGGCAAAGACTCGTTGCTACCCCGGAGTTGAACCTGCCGTTCGACTCAATCCGGGCCGAGTTCTTCGCCCAGTCATGCCACACCTTGACAGCTGCTCTTGGCAGCGAATTACAGTATCAGACCTTTGATGAGATGATCTCAAAGGCAAGGGAACTCATACAAGGTAACCGGCGCGCAGTCAATGAGGCTCGACAACAACCCGATTACGTGGAGAAAGGTAAAGGTCAACGGACGCCACAAGTAGCAGCGATCCAGCAAGGATCTGGTGAGGACCATGCAGCCGCGTCTACATCAAGTGACGGAGATGTGGCGGCAGCGATACCACCGCAACGCTCAAGACCCCGGGAGGGAAAACCTAAGGCGAAACCAGCGTCGGCGGATGGAGCACGACAGTCACCATGGACGAAGTTCGGTATTACGGAAGACATGTTCAAGTTGAGGCAGAAATGGGGATGCTGTCTATGGTGCAACAACACCAAACACATCACTAGCGCATGCCTCGACAAGGACAAGGAAAATGTCAAGCGTCCAAGCTCAGGAAACTGAGCACCGCGGGAAGTGAAGCGACATCACTCCCCAATCCGCTGGACTCGGCTACCTTGCTAGCAGTCTCTCTCACGTCCGGGGATGACGCGGTAGTCGCAAGTTCTCAAAGTGACTTCGAGAACTATGCTGTCGAGCTGGTCCCGCTGTTGAACCAGCCTCTCCACGTGCAAGATTCAAGCGCATGAGCGGTGTTACCGCCGTCGGACAAGGAACCGGTTGCTTCGCCAGCCCTTCTATCAGCGGATCCGTCAACTTGTGCGAGTCTTGAGGAACTCGACCCGTTGACGGTTGAGGACTTCCAATGGTTGCCTCTTCCCTCCACCGGTTTTTTGCCAACACCGCATTGCAACGCCTTGATGGCACATTTGTGCGAATACTTGCACACTGCAGTACCACTTCCATCGACGGATGGCGGAGTAGCGGTTGTTGACCTTCGTAGCTATCTTGTGAAGATCGACCGCGAGCACGTAACGCAACGGTACGTCGACATTGACACGCCGTTCCTCTACATCCACATTCAGATCGGAAAGGCGATCTGCAGTGCATTGATCGATTGTGGAGCGTCTCGCAACGACTTCAGCCAGGACTTCATGGCATGCGCCGGGCTAGGCCCGCGCGTTCGAAGGAGAAGTCAGCCTACGCACGTCTTGTTGGCCAATGGTCACACGCAAAAGTCAATCGACCGTTGGTCAGTCCTCTTTTTCTTCTTCTTTTTTTTTTCCCCTTATAACTCCTACGCCCCATCTATTCTGGGGGGCAGCAGTCCGGTTGCTTATCACTGGCAAGCATCGACATCAAGGAAGAAAGAGCAGGAAAACAGTATGGCCTCATATCCCTATCTCCCAGACGCGGTATGGGGGGGCCTGGGGGGCCTGCCAGGTGTCACATGCCTGTCCCCACCTGGGGCCTGCATAGTGGCTGGGAAACCTTTACACGGTACCCTGACACACACTGTGCGGGTCCCAGGGGGGGTGGTTAGGGGCACCGGGTAGGGCCTCCAGTCACCCGGCCTCCCTTCACTCACTCACTCCCGCATTCGCCCGGATTCAAATTTACTACTATGCCCTTTTAGCACTGTTCACTCTCCCCATACCTCTCAAAGAAACCTATTGAGTATTTACACCCTCATTTTTTGCCCCCACTTCCTCACCCCATTTATCACCCGCACCTCCTCCTCCTACCCAAGATACTTCAGTTAAGTTCAGTATCTTTTTTTTTTTTTTTTTTTTTTTTTGACAAACACAGCCTCCAACCTATTCGTGAGGAGCATCACGTGCTGAGAACTGGACTCAGCGTCCCTTATGAAATACATAGTTGAGAGTTTCAGAGACAAACATGAGCATGAAGCAGTCAGAGAAAAACCTCTGTGCTGGAAACCGGGCCCAGCGTCCCATGCCTTTGACTAAATTGAAACCAAAAAACTGGGGGTCTGCCTCTTCATCCATTTCGCCGGATGCCAGATCCTACGCAGAAATTGTACTTCCTCAGAGCCTCAAAGTACCCCCCAATGTCTGTTATGTTCCCCGACGTCCTTCTAAGCCACACATCCACTCTCCTTTCAGTCTCCCAGCCGTTTCCTTCTCTGCTTCTTTTTTTCCACGCTAACCCCTCTTGCGTCCTTCCCTCCCCTATCTTGTGGGGGCGGCCCTACCGCCCCCCTGCTCCCCCCCCACTACTACATACATGGGCCACTACCCTCCCCACCTATATCTATCACTAATTATGGTACATGGTGACATGGAACCTACTCCTCTATATCCACTGCATATTTCTGCAGGACAGATTCAAATACCAGTCTTGCTTGTCGTTGGATTCTTCTTAACCAGGCTTGGAAACGCTTCCCGCACCCGCCAAAACTTCCTGTCGTCACTTCCCTGATTTCAGTTTGCATCTCCGATACTCAGCCTGGAGGGCTACCCACAGGTTCTCCAGTGCCCTACCCTTTAATGCGGGCATTGTGACCTCCTTTGCCTGTCTGATCCTCTCATTCCGGAGCGTATATCGCCCAGAGGACCGCGCCCCTAACCAGTTGTGCAGCTGCCAACTGGTCTTTATCTGCTCGGTTAACAGTCATTAGTGTGCCTAGGAAGATGCCCGCATCATCTTCCTCGGTAACCGCCCATGGGGAGGGCTCCTTCATCTCCTCTGACCACCATCTCCAAAACTTTGATACTTCTTGGCAGCGCACAAAGACATGTGAGATGGTTTCCACATGATCACGCCCGGGGCAGTACCGTACTCAACCGAATGCCTGCTCTTAGCGGCCAGCCACTCTGCCGTCGGGACTGCAAGGTGGTAGATCAGCCACAGTAGCCCCGCCTGTTTTTGGTCTGACAGGGATTTCGGAATAGCACATTACTCCCTCCATATCCGATACGTCCATCTAGCCACCCGAGCCAACGGGAGCCAATCTCGTTTAGCCCACCAGTCCCGCAGTTCCATGGCTATATCCACCTTCAGAAGCATAGAGCGAAAAATGCCTTTGGTGGTGAGCTGCTGCAGGGGGGTCGTCTTCTTGTTGTGGTTCTGCAGGGGCAGGTACCAGTCCTGCGGATCAACTACCAGTTTGTGCCTCGTTCTGCTGAGGCAAAAAGGGGCGTCCTCCTCGTCCCCGCCTCTGCCTCCATTGCACACCAACACCATCTCCACCATGCTGCAGTCGATCTGACACCACCTGGGTATTCCGTCTTGTCCTGCACCCACCAGTGGGGGCCCTGGCCCCTCGTACCGCGAGCTGACCATCCACTCCGTGACATTCAGCGGCTCCCCTCCCCACACTCCCTCAACCCTGTAAACCCGCTGCGGCTTGCATTCGCCCTTCCTCCTTACCCAGTCCCCCTTCTGCAGGTCCCCCTTTTTCAGCAACTCCACAGATGGGGGTGGGATTGCCTCTCTCATCTCACGCAGCCGTTCCAGCCGCTTCGATTCCCACAGGCGCCGACTAACCATTTCCTCATCCGGTCTCCAGTCCCATCGCTGGGCATCCCAGAGATATATACCCCTCGCTCCGCCCATTGGCATCCGAAAGCTCCCGCCTTTCTCTGCCACAGGTAGGGATCCCCTTTCTCACTACAGATGAGCCTGTTATCGAAGATGGGCTGATTGAATACCTCAACTCGCAGTAAAGTCTGTTCAGAAAAGTCAAACAGTCTTTAAGGCTTACATACACAGTTTGCAAGTTCGGTATCAGCAAAAGGATGGGGTGTGTACTTTTTGAGTGTTGGGATTGTGAAGCAGTCCAGTGTAAGGGAATCTTTCTAAGGGCTGTGTACTGTTTGAGTATGGAGGATGTGGTACAGTGTACTATTATACAATGTGGGGAGGGTAGATGGTAGATGCTTTTTGGCTGCTGAGGTTGTAACTCGGTCCAGTATAAGGCTATAAGGCTAGTATAAGCCTATAAGGGGATTTCCTTCATCTCAAATTATCTGTGTTATTGGAGGTTGGGGGTTGTTTCTGTTCAAGGTAGCAGCTGTGTAGGATTCGGCAATACGGTGGGTAAGTAGGTGTGTCAGGGAAAGTTTGGTGGCATTGCGGCATATATTGCCATGCAGGCGCATACCAGGGTTGCATGCCTGCCGACCTCCGACCCCGACTGCCGACCGTATTGCAGCCGACCAGTAGGGCCGACCGGTCGGTGGTCTGCCGACCAGTCAGAAAACAACCATCCACTGATTTTTTTTCAAATCTGAGTTGGGGGCTGTACTGCACTTGCTGAGTACAGCCCAAATCCGCTGAGAAACTTTTGGGGATGGGGGGGGTATGGGGGGGGGGGGTTTGGAGGGTAGGGGGGGTAGGGGGTTATAGGGGGTTATAGTGGGGTATAGGGGTGGTATAGGGGGTACTGGGGGAGGTAATGTTGGGGGCGGTTTGGCGGTGTTCAGGGGGTGTATGGGGGTATTGGGGGCCGCTATGGGGGTGTTGGTGGTGTTATTAGGGGTTCTGGACCCCTGTTTTTTTTGCGGGGTGCCGACAACCCCCGCCCGGTAGGTGCCGACCAGTCAAGGGGGGGCGACCGTCGGGGTGTGCAACACTGGCCCATACTGTAAAATTACCCATGAGAAGTTCTCTCTTTTTTTTTTGCGTTTTTATTTTTATTTTTAATGTCCAGTGTCCACTCTGTTTCTGGAGTCCCGAGTGCTAGCTTATCCCTCTCTTCCTTCGCAGAATCTAAAATCCCCCCTCAACTCTCCCTTCCATCTCTTCTATTGACTTATCGTGAGGGCACGGGTGCGCAGCCCGTAGTTTGTATATGCTTGATTGATGTGAGAGAGAGAGAGAGAGAGAGAGAGAGAGAGAGAGAGAGAGAGAGAGAGAGAGAGAGAGAGAGAGAGAGAGAGAGAGATGGCGAGGAACAAATGCAGATGGCACGCAGATAACCGGGGTCCACGCCTTTTCAGATTCGAATTTCAAGGCCCTGCGGCCCACACTCCATTTCAGGCCTGGGTCCATGGGTCCACCGTTTCAGATTCGAATTTCAAGGCCCTGCGGCCCGCACACCGTTTCAAATTTTTTTGGTCTGCGGGGTTCCCAGGAAAACGCCACTGACAGCTACCGGTCCTGGATTTGCTTGAACTGCCGCCCCCCCCCAAATGCCAGTGCCGTTCATTTTACCAGCCTTTGAACGACCAATGGGCCCGAATGAACGACCGGTATAACAAACAACGACGAAAAATATCTCAGGGACATAAAACGCACCCCTGACAGGCTGTGAACACTCTACCTCCCTTCCCATCCTGCTGAGAGAACCAATGGAATGACAGGGTGAGCCCTTCTATTGTTGCTATCATCCCCTGCGCTAGCCTCATCTCTTGAAACTCCCGTATCAAGTCTTTGGCGTTCTCTGGGTTTTGGCGTGCTTGCTTTCGCATCCTGTGGTATACCTCCTTTGCCTCCTGCCTGTGCATTGGTCGCTTCCCTTCCCTATTGTTTGCTGGCATCTTCGTTTCCATATGGTCCAGAGTGCATACTGTCTTAGCAGCTGGAATGCCCCCATCTAGTATTGTTGCCATGACTCTGGGAGGTCCATGCTTAGGAGTAGTCTTTTGTTGTCCTCCGGAAACGGAGCATCAGAGATTTGATCCCACAGGGACCTAGCTTCTTCCCATACGTATGCCGCGTCTGGACAAGCTATGAGGCAGTGAGTCCCTGTCTCCGGAGCTTCCTCTCTGCATTGTGTGCATGCGTGGTTGGCGGGGTCTCTCAGGTGCTGGCTGCGACGTTCATAAAGCCATGTGTTAACCTGTAGCGCGAGGTGGAAGATCAACCACTGCATACTCCCAACTTTCCCCAGCCGTATGGTTTGTAGCGCTGTCCATGGCAGGTGAGCCACTTGCACTCTGGGTACTTCCATTCTCTTTCCCCATCGCTTGGCCAGTGTCTCCGCCAGTGAGTAGGATCTTCTTCTTAGCCTGTATCCCATCTTTGTTGTGTGGTGTATGATGCAGATCCTCCTGGCCAGTTTTAGTGTTCCCCCCCTGAGATTCCATGCCCATTCTGCCGGGTCAACCTCCAGGTCTTCTATTGCTGTTGTGGGTGTGAAGATTGTGAACTCTTCTGTTTCTACCACGGTACCACCCTTACCTTGAGCACCATGTTCCTTCTTATTGTTGTGATTGGAGTCCATGATAACTTGTCCAACTTGCTTGTGTACGTTCCCAGGGTATCAATGTTGTACATATCCGCGGA